ATCAAAATGTATTAAAAATCTTATCCAGAATGCGTTTATAACAAAATGAGTATTGGGAATGATGATTTAGTCAAAGTCATATCCAGAATGCAGTTCTTATAAAGTTAACATCCAGAAAATTACAACATAGGCATTTTCAAACTATGTCAAAAGCTGAAAAATGACAAAATTTGCCAGACAACAGCAGTTATTATATATATATATAAAACATCTGAAAAATAATTGTCATTTCTGCATGTCGGCCTTTTAAATAAAGGCCACTTGATTTGACATTTTGTTTCCTCAAACAATAAACTTCCTTTTGTATGACACCAATATCCAGATACTTTTTATGGCCACCGTCCAGTTCAGGCTTAGTTCTGAATCGCAGTGCATCCAACATTAAAGCAGCGTGGAGCTTCTTTTACACAGTGATAGGAAACGCTGCAGCTCAGAGAAGCTCCACTTCCACATTTTACTGACCAACATGCTCAGCATTTCGCTCACCAGCTTCTCTGGGAGCAGATTTTGATCAGCTATAGGCTCTGAATGGATACGTCAGGTGAAGAGAGGCTGAACAGAGCGAGGAGTGGAGCTTGTAGATCCTTTATGCTCCGTTTCTGTCATAGCAACTACCCTGAAAACAGTTTTGGAACATTAGTGCCGGCCAGGGCGTAACGAAACCTGGCCGACGGAGGAAAGGTAAGCAGCACGAAGAGTAAACAAAGCCACCTGCAGCATTAGCACACAGGCTCAGAGGCATAATAGTGACCGCGCATTGTCTGTTAAACACAGCTCTGTTGTTGTGGGTGTAAACGCTCCGAGTTTTCCACGCAGGTAATAGCGGGGAGCTTATGGCGCGCTGCCAGAACTGCCTGAAGCGAGTGGCGCCGCAGTGCCACCCTTCACTTGTCACGCAAGCGCTAAAGAGTTCGCCTCTGAGCTGCTGTTCAACGCGCTGATTAGGATTCAGAGCGCTGCATTGTGCTGCCAGTGAAAACGTCATGAGTGAGGAATGTTACTGCGTCTTATTCCAGACGCTTCCTCCTCACTGCACTGCGCCTCTGCATCGCCGTCGCACGCAAACACACCGCGGTCAGCTCACGGACGCTAATGCGTACCTGTCCTCATGAGCAAAATGCATATTTACTTAGTTGTTGTTATTCGTAAGTAAACTTTTAGTTGTGTTTAAATATTAGCATCAAAAAGTTTTCACCGTTTTCAATAATAAAACACCAATTTTGTTGCATGATTCTGAAATTTCATGCTAGAGCTGCATGTTTTAGCTAATTAATTGGAGGCTGTAAACAATGCTGAGATGATTCCACAGTGACTAAGACGTATAAGACCAAGAATTCATTTGTCAAAAGAAATCAAAGTCCAAAATGAAGTTCTATTGAAGTTTATATCCAGAATTAAGTTGTTATAAAATTAATATCCAGAATGAATTTCTAATAATGTTAATATGCAGAGTTAAGTTTTAATAAAAGTTATGTCCAGACTGAAGTTCTTTTAAAATTGATGTCCAGAATGCATTTACAATAAAATTAATATTCAGAATGAGTTTCCAGTAAAGTTAATATTTAGAATGAATTTCTAATAAATATTCAGAATTAAGATCTAATGTCAGGAATCAAGGTGTAGTAAAATTCACATCCAGAATATGTTTCTAATAAAATGAATATTCAGAATGAAGATTTAAATAAATTAATATCCAGAATGACTTTCTTATAAAATTAACATCCAGAATGAAACTTTAATAAAGTTAATATTCAGAATGAAGATCTAAATAAATTAATATCCAGAATGAAGTTCTAATAAAGTTAATATCCAGAATGAATTTCTAATAAAATGAATATGCAAAGTTAAGTTTTAATAAAATTAATGTCCAGACTAAAGTTCTTTTAAAATTGATGTCCAGAATGCATTTACAATAAAATTAATATTCAGAATGAGTTTCCAGTAAAGTTAATATTTAGAATGAAGATCTAATGTCAGGAATCAAGGTGTAGTAAAAAATCACGTCCAGAATATGTTTATAATAAAATGAATATTGAGAATGAAGATTTAAATAAATTAATATCCAGAATGACGTTCTTATAAAATTAACATCCAGAATGAAACTTTAATAAAGTTAATATTCGGAATGAAGTTCTAATAAAATATGTATCTAATTTATCTAATAATAATATGCAGAATTAAGTTTTAATAAAATGAATGTCCAGAATGAGTTTCTATTAAAATTAATGTCCAGAATACATTTACAAAAAAAATCATATTCAGATTGAATTTCTGATAAAGTTAATATTTAAAATGAATTTCTAATAAATATTCAGAATGAAGTTCTAATGAAACTAATGTCTAAAATCAAGGCATGGAAAAATTCATATCCAGATTGTTTTTCTAATAAAATGAATGTTCAGAATGAAGTTCTTATAAATTAACATCCAGAATGAAGTTTTAATAAATAAAATTAATATCCAGAATGAATTTCTAATAAATTAATCTAGATAACTTTGCCAGACTTTTTGTAAACAGGTACATTATTTATCATTTAGAATGTTTTTTTATTTGTAACAGTGTCTTATTTATCACTTAAAATACTTAAAGTTGTGAATAAACAATTTTTTTC